CTCACTACTCTCACTTTTTTCTCTCATTCTTTTTGTAAATGAACGTGTCAGATTATGAAATAGTACGCCTATTTATCACTTATTTGTTTAACAAATATTAATTTAAATTACACATGAAAAGAATCAGGACTGTTTTTTGTGTTTCGGATTGAAAAAATTGGTTTCAGTACACTTTGTTTTGGTGGCAAAAACAAAGTGTAAACGTACACTTTGCCCACATAAGCAAAGTGTACAAGTACATTTTGTTTTAGATTTCTATTGGAAACCCTGGTCATGAATAAAATGAACAACAACCATTTGTTCTTGCATTTCTTGAAAGTATTATAAAAAATCTAAATCGATCTAAAAATAATCACAAGTAGTCAGGAGTAAGAAGATGTGGTAGTCACCGAGCCCATGACTGGTGTTGAAGAAGAGTAACAAGAATCAGAGAAAGTATTCAACATGACACATGTTTCTTTGGGAGAAGAAGAGGTATGGTTGTGTTTATCTCTCATAAACTGAGGCGAAGCGGTTTTACCAATGATAGACTTATTTAAGCTAGACCAAAAGCGCGATGAATCAGAAAATAGAGAAAGTATTCTTTTAAAATGGCGTTTTTGTGACCGCGTAAACATTGTAACACTTTGTTTCGTAAGATCTTAAAAGTAGTACACCTATCGATTGTTTTCCTAACTTTCCAGATTTTGAAAGCATGATTTCGTTTTCGCATATATTTTCTAGTAAGTTTAGATAAGCGATGGTAGATTTCATAATTAATTTAACTTTCTTCAATGGTACAATCCGTTCGATGCAACTATTAACATGCAAAGTCAAAATTTTAGCTGCAGCTGAAGGATCTGTGGTAGATAAGTGACTGACGGTGAATCTAAAGCTTGATACAGCAGAGTAAAATCACACTTTGAGAAAGCACAAACGAGCTTAAACTTTTATTCTACAGACGGAGTAACAGAAATATTAAAAGAGTAGAATAGACTAAAATGTATCGATTCACCGATAGCAGGTTGGTCTAGAATTAGTGGATGTTTAATGTTATAAGCAAGAAATAGATGCAAGATTATCTGATTGCCTGCTTCTCTGCTGTATGAGAAAGACATACCATACATAGAAAATATTCAAATATCAACATAATAAATATTTAATTTATTTGGAAAAATCTAAATTTGACACTACTGTTTTATTTATTTCATTCAATGACACCAATTTCAACGTATGTGCTCCCGTTATTTATTCTGTGTTTTTGGAGTCAAAAACACAAAATTATTCATTTTCCCATCTGCGTATAGTTAGTCTCACGAAGGAACCTCTTGAGGTTATAAATCGCTTTTGAACTCGAACTACTTGTATCTTGTAGACCTCAGTGAGTAGTGAAATACCCTAAGTTAGTTCAGCTTCATGGTGCTTTGTTGCTGAGATATTGAATTTTTAGTCAGTTTTTGCTTATAGAGCTTGGATTTCGAGCAAAATCCGACTTTCGAATTTTGACTTGAACTTGCCACACTGGTAGCCCATGGTCATAGTAGTACGATGGGAAAAAATTCGATCCTAATGAATTTTCCTGCCGTGAGATATTGAGATTCGAACATTTCACCTGAAGGTGAGGGTGAGGGTCAGATGTTCGAGTCTCAATATCTCAAGGCAGGAAAATTCATTAGGATCGAATTTTTTCCCATCGTACTACTATGACCATGGGCTACCAGTGTGGCAAGTTTCAAGTCAAAATTCGAAAGTCGGATTTTGCTCGAAATCCAAGCTCTATAAGCAAAAACTGACTAAAAATTCAATATCTCAGCAACAAAGCACCATGGAGATGAACTAACTTAGGGTATTTCACGGTCCCTCATGGATATTGAAATCAATCACTGTTCTTTTGGCGTAATTGAGAGAGAGATGTCAGCCGCGCTTCCTCTTTTCTTGCTCGTAAACTCTGATTGACAACGTCGGTCTAAAGCACAGAGCAAATAACGTATAGTTTGCAGTCCTACTTAACCTTCTAATCTTACCCAGTTCCATGGACGTTCCTCTTCTAGATAGACATTGATATACCAATCGATGTAATCTTCGAGCAATCGATGAGACAATGAAATACGAATGATGACATTCAACATTTCAACATTTCAATCAACCGAGTGACCATCATCGCAGATTATTTTTTATTGAAGTTTTAAGTGAGTGTTTTGGTTGGTGTAGGGTTCAAGAGTTGTCTTGAGTCGTCTTTTCCGTTTCATGAGTATTGTTTTTAGATGGTTTGTCCAGTTCATGCAATACTGCGATTATATCAGAGTCTCTTTTATTTCGCAATGACCGATGTGGTTGCCGTGATGGTAGTGTGCCATTGTTTTTCGTTCTTAACGTGCGTCATTTTTTCCTCTTGTTTCTTTTATTTATGTTCTATCTTGTGCTGCAGATGAAATGCAGCATCTCGATTTTAGATGATCGGTATTATTTGTACCCTCTCGCTTCGCGTGCTTTCGAGACCATGAGTGAGCTTTTCTGTTTTTCTCGTTCATTTTTTGTTTCGAATTAACGTAAATATATAAAGTTGAAGATAACCATGTTTTTCAAAATTGCTTTGGTCCATAGCGACAACACGTCTGCCGATACTGCACAAGGCAATCGCTAGATTATGCGACAGCCGCGAAGAAATGATCAGTTTATCCGAGTACCTGTCGGCAGTTCGTCGCCTGGGAGACGCTTTTAAGGAGAGCACCTTCGTCCCAGATTTTCCGATTTGGTGTTGGAAGGAGAATCTTTGGATCTGTTCCTACATACACCTGGATGGGTTCTACTGATTAATACAAACGAAGATACAAGGTGATAGAAAAGAACCTTTCTCTATTTTTCACTCATCTGCATGACGCGAGATAAACGATCTGAAGATAGAGTTCTGTTTTCGTCAGTTAACATCCAGCAGACTGACTGTTTATGTAGATACTGAACTTCATCATTGATTTTAATCTTGAAATATGAATCTTTCTGCTCATCAGCAACCCGCTCTCGTATTCTTAGTCCCTGAAGGTTCGTCTTTGTTGTTGTTAAAGAACTTTCATCGGTTTGATTGTCATCCTCATCATTACTATCATACGAGCGTTCATCACTTTCATCACCATCGTCCACTTTATTCTCGTCATTATCCCCATCTTCGTTATCATCTCCTAGATCGAATTCAGAATCGATTTCGGATGAATTATCATTATCCATTTTGAATTGTCAGCAAGCTTTGATTTTGTTCTTAAATAATGACCGATAAATTCACTTAATTCATCTAATTTGAACACATTGTGTTTTTTCAAGACTTTTGATATATTCAGCTGTTCAATGAGTTTAACGGCAAGTTCATGTGAATTTCGAATCGTTTGTTGTACGTCCAAACTTTCTACATCACTTAAGTTTTGTAATGACAAAAACTGATTATCATACTTGTGTTTATGATGAACAGGAAATTTCAGTTGTTTCTCGGTTTCTACCAATTCTTTTGATTTTATGTCATTGAGGATGGTTAACTTTTGTGCTCGACGTAGAAAATCATATACGGTGAAATTAACAATTGTAGAATATGCACCACTTAGTGCTCTTATGTTTCGAAAAATCGATTCACAAGATTGCGAATTACACAGATACAGATTTAAGGCTTCCCTAGGTAGTTGCTGTTGTTGAACAAGTACGATGAGGTATAGAAGACTGTGAGCATTAATTTCAACAAATAAATAAGCCGTACGTGTAATAAAGTATTTTTCTTTACTATTATTATTTTTTTTTGTTGGACGGAAAGGTTGTGTGTAGCAGCCAAGACCACCTAAATCGGCAAACAAAAACGATACACCATGCCGTCGCTAACCCTTCAATATGAAAAGACAACTTTTTTAAGAAAATCGTGCATTCCACGTCTTCGATTAACGACCGAGAGTAATTGTGCTAGTTCTCCGCCAGGCCGTTCAAAACGGTTCTCTTAACGTGTTAGCATTACTATTTTTACACCGCGTGCACCACTTTTTCGCGGTATATCCGACATTTTCGGCCGTTTTTACGCAGTTTTCGGTGCATCAAATAATGATCTAAAATGGTTCGTTTACCCGCCGTTAAAGTCCCGTTCTGTTTGGGACGGATGCACTCAATATCTCTAGCTAGGAAGACATTACAACCAGAGTTTCCAATAGCAGGTGTACCAAGCAAAAGCAAAATGTACTGTACATCTGCTACTTTTGATTTACACTC